ATAATAATAATAACTTTACCACACTACCTTACGTTAAAAGCCTTGGTCCACATAGGCAGGATGCAAGGTTTTACACTGAACACAAGCTAGGGTAAAGCTCTACTATTGAATAATGAAGTTAGAGTCAGCTTAGGGTAGGGGACCACGTGGTTCCAATGGGACCCCCTTTAGAATAACTAGTAATATAAACTCTAAAAACACCTACTACACACAAAATATACTACTCTACACATAGAACATGAGTATGCCAGAAATTGAATAATGTACACAGTATATACTTAGCTTGAACAAGACACAGAAATAAGGAAACGAGGAGGAAGGAGAGGGTGCATGGTTCCTTTCACCACAGCCAGCAACCAGAGAAGGCCGCTTCAGCCCAGATCAGCCTCCCGCATCGTGTGGTGCCGGGAAGAGCCTAATTGATCGTGCAGCTAAGCACATTAAAAATCTTCCCCTATGCCACGTATTGTTACTTTACAAATGATTAAAGTATTAGTAAACATAGTTGGTGCCTATGTTATTATTTAATAATCAACCCCCAGCTCAGTCTTTAAATGCTCTTTGAGAAACAAGAATAGTCTTACGTCTGGCAGGGAAGATACAAACAAAGACACATCGAGTTGCGTTTTGCTACTCTAACGTAGCTTATTTAGTTCAATTTTGACCTCTGGTTTCCACTGAAGAACCCAGGGTCGTAACAGACACCTTATTCATTTAATTTGTTTTGGAAGGCGAGTGCAGTGGCTCGGAGGACCATGGGTACGGCTAAGCCTAATAGATGAAAATCTTATTTACCTGTCTGACCTTGACTCCGGAATATTACAGCTAAACCCCCTCACTCAAATCTGGAAGCAAATCCATTTGCCGGTAAATTTGTTCCAAACATCTCGCCTGTCCTTCACCTCCATGGTTCTGGTGTGGCAGAACCGGTGTTGGTCACGAACGAACTGGGTTCACACTTCAACAGTTAGCTCCAGTATTTGTCTTCCTCCTTTCCTTACTTGTAAACCTCTTATCAAGTCCCGTCCCTCAGACTTTAGCACCCACCTACAGCTCCCCTGTTACGACCTTTTCTCCCCTTCCGAACTCCATTGTTCCGTAACCCTTTGCAGGTCCACAGCGGCGAGCTCAGGCAGCATTCATTATGAGATCCTCCGTCATGTTGACCAGACCACACACTAAAAAGTAAAGGGACGACGACGTTTCGGTCCATCGTTTCGGTCCGGAACGAAACGTCGTCGTCCCTTCACTTTCTAATGTGTGGTCTGGTCAATATACTTCAGCCACGTTATTGTGACTCATTGCCTACATCCTCCATCATCGCTCCCCCCTCCCCTCCCAGGGCACTGCCGGGCACTGTTCAGTATTTGCTGAATATCTAAACCCGTATTTGGAAGATATCATCAGTCCCCGAGGGATGGCTTGAGGCAGTTCTTTCTATTCAGAAACCCGATAATCAACGGGCTTCCCCTAAGGATCTTCGCCCCATTGCCCTGACGAGGTGAATTTGGAAGCGTTTCAAGCGTACTTTTATTTTTTTATTTTTTTTAACAGTAATTACAGCGTACAGTAACCATATAAAACAGGAAAGCACATAATAACAAAGAACACAGAATAACAATAACACAGATAACAAGTAACACAGAACAACATAACACAAAAGTGAAAACAAAGAATAACAGAAAACACATAAGAACATACAAACAAAAGCAACACTACCCATATGGGGCGGGCCACAAGCATCAGTAATGACAAAAGTGCACAAAGAGCACAATAAAACCAAGAGTAAAATATAAACAAGGAATACACATATACAAAATAACACAAACACAAAACACACGCACCATGAGCCACCACAGAATCGAGAACACAGTAACAGAACATGGTAAATATAACACTGTAAATACAACATAGTAAGTAAAACACAAGAAATAACAAGGGAACGCAACAAAGCAATACACAACAAACACACGCAAACCAACCATAAGCAATAAATAAAAAACCGGAACACGCAGGAACCAGAAAACGAAACAAAACAAAAAAAACCGACCCAGACACACACATGCAACCCCACCCCACACCCACGCACCCAGGAGCAAGTAACCCCCACAACACACAATAGTCAACAAGGAGATTTCTCAGGAAACTTCCGTGACGGATACTTCCGCTTATAAGCCTCCCATATTAAATATTCCAGTTCGGTAGGGGAACGGCCCTCACGACACCGTGGGTACTCCATATACTTGGGGATCTCCACATCCGGCGAGAGCAATCGCACCCAACCCCGGGACACCGAAGACGAAGAACCCGACTTGGGAGGCAGGAACACCGCCGCCGAGGAAGCAGGAAACGCCGGAACAGCAGGCGGAAGCTGCCGAGACGGCAACCTCGCACGCGACAAAGCAGAAGACACACAAGAAATGGCCGGAGACGGGTGGGGCGGCATAATCGCCGCCGACGAAACAGGGGACGGGGAAGGGGGCACAGAACCCTCAGAGCGAGCAGTCTTCTTCAACACCACCACCAGGTCGCCACGTCCACTCTCAACCCCGCAAGCGGGAACCACCCCCCACGGGGAACCGGAACCATCCGACGCGGGCGACGCGCCCGAAGCAAGAGGTACCGGCCCCACAGCAGGAGTCACACCAGGGCCCACACCATCCACCTGACCCACACCAACACCAGACGCACCATCCTCGCACTCCACAGAGGAATAGCTCTCAGAAGAAACATCAACCCTCGCCGCATCCTCTCATTCCTCTGCCCATGAATGAGGAGCCGGAGCACCCGTATCCGTACACGAACGCTTGGGGACAGGCCGTTGATCATCGGAGCTGTCACCCACAGCAGGAAGCACCCAAGAGGAGCCGGCGGCAGGCCGCCCCACAACCAGGGGAGCATGACCCCATAGAATGTCAGCCTCAACAATACGGGGGACGAGACCGCCACCCACAGAGGAGACAGGAGAAGGGACAGGCGCGGCCGCAGGAGGGGAAGGGTCCAACACAGCACACAGGGTCACAACAAGGTGAGGGAGCCTGCAGAGATGTCGGAGGCGCAGAGTCGGAAACAGGTGCAGAAGCCGGTGGAAGCGATGAGACCGACTGCGGGGGCGGAGCCGCACACACCACCATCCACACATTCCGGGCCAACAGCCACCACCGGAGTCAGCAGGCGGCAGGGGAACCTCCCCACCCACTCCATCATGAGGCGACAGGTCCTGCGCCACCAACGGGGGAAAATCCTCGTCCTGGAACAAATTAACAGATGCAGCCACAACTCCAGTGCAATCAGCTGCCCCTCAATGCCACAACTAAAACATTGTCGAGGCTGTCCTGCGTAGAATGCTCGCATGGTGTAGCCCATCAAGGTCACTGCGGAGGGAACAGGAGACTTGAGCCTCAGGCCAAGAGTCCGGGTCCCACGCCACCTGCCGGCAGAGATGGAGTTCATCCGGACGGAAATGACAGTCCCAAACTGGCCAAAATACTGTCGAAGCAAAGCCTCCGTGAATTCAAACGGCACACCATGCAGGACCACATACGTTACCGAGCAGCACCGGCCAGATATAGTGACGGTACCACCGTCCCCAGGGAGAGGAAGAGAGCGCCCATCGTAAAGGGCCACGAAGTCTCTATAAACAGCAGCAGAGTTAAACTTAACAAGCGCCCGATGGGTGGACAGCAGTTGGAGCCCGTACACATCGGCAACTCGCACACGCAGCATATCCAACAGGACAATCTCAAGGGCCAGGTAAGACGCACGTCCAGAAAATTCCAGACCCACGGTCTCACAGCGGCGAATAGGGGGGATGTGGGGTCCCCATGGCGCCAACGCAACAACACCCTCCCACACGGAACGCCTAGCAACAACTGGGGAGGCTTGGCGACCACGTTTAGACCCTCTGGCGGGCAGGCCAGCAACTACTTTTCCCCTCTCAATTTAGCTTTCGCAAGTGTCGCAGTGTAACTAATGTTTTGGTGGATACAGACGTCTTCATTCGTATCTGTCTGGCCTTGATTCCAACACCTGTAGCATTGACCTATCTGCCTAAAGGCTGACAGACTTCCCAGAGGCTGTGGACAGGAACTCTTCCCCCCCCCCCCTCACTTAAGTCTTAATCATGATGTTTCATACATTTGCATAAGTTTTCTTCGCCAACAATGATTTTATTAGCGAATAACAAAATAACATGTATGAAAGAAATGTATTATGACTTGGACAAATAATTATAGGCATTAAACATCATAAAGGTTCAATAAAAAAGTTGATATTAGAGATTCTGGTGCATTTAATACAATAAAACGTGGAAAGATAATTATGGTGTTTTTTTACATGTCGTGAAGTACACGCGCGCGCGCACACACGAGCATTTACCCATTCAAGAACGGACATATTGAACACTAAATAAAAAGATATATTGGATAGCTGTTCCTCATGCAAGTTCCAAATACATTAATCCATCTCCTAAAATTTAGCCCAGCCCGTCTCAAGTCATACTCTTAATGACTCGGCCAAAATTGGTTTTGATAGTTCTGACCTTTAGAAATTGTTGTCAAGAAGAAAAATTAAAGAAATCTCTTTAATAAGCTAACTCCCGCCTCATTGTTGACATACTCATAATCCTCTCAGCTGACACCATCTTCATAGTTTATATTTTCTCAACTGACACCATCTTCCTAGTTTATATTTTCTCAACTGACACCATCTTCCTAGTTTATATTTTCTCAACTGACACCATCTTCCTAGTTTATATTTTCTCAACTGACACCATCTTCCTAGTTTATATTTTCTCAGCTGATATAATTTCGAGTACTCACTGACAATACAGTCATGTATGGCTGGGAGAACCATGCAGGTGGCATGTTTTAAGTGGGTGAAGTTGTATAAAGTGTAGCACATACTAGGAGGGCAACAGCTCCGAGCTTAACAAGCCACTATGTAGGACAGAAAACAGGAGTCGCTGTTTCACCTACAAGGTTGTAAACCCAAGGAACCGCCTACCCGCCGAAGCCGTCAATGCGGAAACATGGCTGTAGTCCAAAATCCACCTTGATTAAATCATCAGGAAAAATTGGGGATATCTTTAACAAGGCGCCGGCTTCCTGGCCCCCGTCGAGGCCACTAGAGGGATTGTGGCCCTTAGGTTAATTCAGGCAAAATTGTGGTGGTAGATGTTGCACATGTTAACTTTGTGCTGACAATAATATTGTTAGCTGAGATAAACCTAAGAGTTGACACTACAGCAATCCATGTCAATTGCAGCATCACATGGTAATTACAGCACTCTATTATAATTAGGGCAACTCATAAGAATGACAGCAAATTATGGTAATTAGAGCAACCCATGATAATTGTACATGAAATAGTCATCTATCTTTGAAGTAAACACACAGGTGAGTACTGGATGATCAGTAGACTGGTTGAGGATGATGTCTTAACATAGTTCATCAAAACAGATCGTCTTAAGTTGTGAGAGTCAGGGTTACTAAGGTGTCCATATATGTAATGCTGAGGAAATGTATCCAAGTGTGGTAATAATTGGCATGACGTGGCCCAGGGTTTCCCGCCATTTCTTGTCTTTATCGTCTGCGTCCTGCCGGTGTGGTTGGTGCTACTGTGGTGGTTGGTGCTGGTGTGGTGGTTGGTGCTGGTGTGGTGGTTGGTGCTGGTGTGGTAGTTACTGCGACTGTAGTTGTGGTTGTTGTAGTTGTGGTTGTTGTGGTTGTAGTTGTTGTGGTTGTTGTAGTTGTTGTGGTTGTGGTTGTTGTGGTTGTAGTTGTTGTTGTTGTAGTTGTAGATGTAGTTGTAGACGAAGTTGTAGATGTAGTTGTAGATGTAGTTGTAGACGAAGTTGTAGATGTAGTTGTAGATGTAGTTGTAGACGAAGTTGTAGATGTAGTTGTAGATGTAGTTGTAGACGAGGTTGTAGATGTAGTTGTAGTTGTAGATGTAGTTGTAGACGAAGTTGTAGATGTAGTTGTAGACGAAGTTGTAGATGTTGTTGTAGATGTAGTTGTAGACGAAGTTGTAGATGTAGTTGTAGACGAAGTTGTAGATGTTGTCGATGTAGTCGAAGTTGTGGTCGTACTCGATGTTGTAGATGAACTTGTACTCGATGTTGTAGACGTGCTTGTACTCGATGTTGTAGATGTACTTGTACTCGATGTTGTAGACGTGCTTGTACTCGATGTTGTAGATGTGCTTGTACTCGATGTTGTAGACGTGCTTGTAGTCGATGTTGTAGATGTGCTTGTAGTCGATGTTGTAGATGTGCTTGTAGTCGATGTTGTAGACGTGCTTGTAGTCGATGTTGTAGATGTGCTTGTAGTCGATGATGTAGATGTGCTTGTACTCGATGTTGTAGATGTGCTTGTAGTCGATGTTGTAGATGTGCTTGTAGTCGATGTTGTAGATGTGCTTGTAGTCGATGTTGTAGACGTGCTTGTAGTCGATGTTGTAGACGTGCTTGTAGTCGATGTTGTAGACGTGCTTGTAGTCGATGTTGTAGACGTGCTTGTAGTCGATGTTGTGCTGGTAATCGTTTCTGAAAAAAGGCATTAGAAAAATATAATTCGTCTCCTGCCCGAAACGCTTTGCGTAATAGTGGCTTTAGGCATTGTATGTACTAACTCTATCTATTAATCCAACAAACTTTGTTAAATCTCTTTATGTATGTACCTTACCTAAATAAATATTTATTTATTTATTTATTTATTTATAAATATTAAACTACCAACTGAAGTTAACGACGTATATGGGGATATACCTTACTCCCTTGATCAGAATGTTTTGCTAAATCCGAAGTTGTAAATTGTCAGTTATATTTTGAGCGATGAAAATTATGCAAGATCACCCCCCCCCCTTCCCCCATCACAAACATACTCACCCACCCCTCCAACACACATACTCACCCCCCCCCCCCCCGCCCCCTTCTACAATCACGTACTCACAAACCCCCACACACACATGAGAGGACTCAAGACAGATGAAGACAGAGACTACAGGACGACCTGAACAAATTGGAAGACTGGTCTAGAAAATGGCTACTAAAGTTCTACTCAGGAAAGTGTAATGTAATGAAATTAGGCAAAGGGAGCAGAAGGCTGAACACATGGTATCATCTGGGAGGTGAAATCCTGCAAGAGTCAAATAGAAAGATCTGGGGGTTGATATCACACCGAACTTGTCCCCAGAGGCCCCACAACAAAAGGATATCATCAGCGGCATATGTTAGATTGTCCAACATAAGAACTGCCTTTAGAAACTTGGGTACCACAGGGGTCAATTTTGGGGCCAACCCTATTTTGTCATGTACATTAATGACATGGATGGGAATATTACAAATCACATCATCAAATTTGCAGATGACACAAAGATTTATGGTAAAGTGGGAAGTGAAAATGAGATTGAAGCCTTACAAAGAGATCTATGTGAACTCCACAAATGGAAGACTGGTTAATGTTTTATAATGTCGACAAATGTAAGACGTTGCATGTGGGACATAATATTCCTCGTCACAACTACCAAATTAAAAAAAAAAAACCTTACAGCTGTGTTTAAACATACACATTTGCTCTGGCGGCGAATGTGAACGTAGTAATATCACTCGGATAATAGTAATCTTCAATCACTTGTTGATTAAAGATTAAGCAACCTAAGAGGTGGCACGGGCCCGTAAGTTTTTTTTTTTTTTGAGTGAATGTTATCTTTGGTCGTGAAAAATCACTCGTTCACCGTTAAATATGCAAATACATGACAACTACAATGACGGCTTGAATTTATTCACTTCTTTTATTAAATTTACTTTGAGCACTTCTACCGCTACCGCTGTGGATTACTCTTTCGAAGTCTCATTCGTTCATTTGACTTTTACCCTATCGATGACTTTCATAAATCACGATTAAAGGCACCCGCACCCTGACGATGTCGCTGAAGTGTAGTGTACCGTCGTCGATGTCCGTGTTGGGTTACACGCTCCGCTGCCAGTATCGGGTAACAACCGCACACCTGTTATCGGTGTGGTCACGAGGGTCATCTGGCTGCAGCGTGCGACGTGGGAGCGACTGGTAGGGTGCTTATTTTTCGTGTGGAGGATTTCCCGCCTCTGTTGCGTTCGGACGGTTCTGAGGACGGAGTGGGTACTGTGCCTGAGGCACAGTACCCACTCCGTCTGATAGCCTGTCTGCTGCTCCGCCTGTTGAGGCGAGTTCTCTGGCCTGTGCGACACGTTTGGTAACTGCTGTGGCCCCTGGGGTTGTTGAGCCGGTGTGTGTGGGTGTCGGGCCGTCGCCTGCGCTGCGTGTAGTGCAGGATGTCCCAGTGGAGGTTCATGTCCCGCCCCCGCCTGTGGAGTGGTACCGGCTCCCGGGGACGCGGGTTCTGCTGTTTTGGAGGGGGGCTTCGGCAGGGGGAGGTGCCTGCCGTGCCTGTGTGTGTTGGCGACTGTAGTTCTGCTACTTCCATCCCTTTGCAGAAGCGTGCGCGTCGGTGCTCTGAGGCTGTTTCCCTGGATGATGTGCTCTGAGGCTGTTTCCCTCAGTGTGGGCGATGTGGCCTCTGTGGCCTCTTCGGACGGTGCGGGTGTGGCCTGTGTGGATGTGAAGATGGTGGCCGTGCCTGGGGGGGGGGCCTGCTGGGAGTGGTGTGGTGCGGCCTGTCTCGAAGCGTTCGCGGCGGGCTTGGAGTGTCCCCCCTTCGTGGTGTGCCTTGGGAGGAGGTGGGGGAGTATGGTGCTCTGGTGTCCCCCACCATGGATGACGGGGCTGTGAGGGGCTCCGAGTTGCTGCCTGTGTCCCCCCCCCCCCCTCTGCGTCTTCTGCTGTTGGATCCCCACGGTGGGGGGTTGCCCCTGATGATCGGGACCTCATCGTGGTGTTGCGGAAAGATGTGCGCCGGGGGGCCTCGGCTCCTGTGCCCTGTGGTGGGGTCGATGCCGCGCTTGCATCCCCTGCGGTTCCCCCTCCTTCGTTGCCCCGGTCTGGTGGTTGCCTAGTCCCGGCTGCCGGGGTCGTGACCTGTGAGGGTCAGGTGTTGGGCCCTTATCGGGATGCCCGGGTGCTTCCGATCCCGTGGTGCTCATCCACTGTCTGGGTGTCGCAGGTGAAGGAGTTTGTTTATAAGGTGCCGAATAAGATGTCTCCGCCGAAGGCGCCGCCTGGTGGCCGGGTGTCCTTTGACTCGTGGGTGGTTTGGGGAGCGTACTGCTTGCTCTTTCCGATACACAAGTTCCCGGAGAAATATTATTTGATGCCTTGCGCACAGCGCTACGCCGTGCGTAAATCAGCTGCCGCCGTGAACTCGACATCCCGCCCTACGGTGCGGCGAGTTTCCCTCTAACGTCCACCTCTGTTTTCGTCGCCACTCCTCTCTCTACAGCCCGCCACAACTAACACTTTTGACTTTCTTCTCGTCCTCAACGTCAACGCGTCTCCCAACATCTGTCCTGGTGCAGTCATCGGGAGGGTAAACCCTTCATGCATATTGCACCTACTCTCAAGAAGAAGAAATTATGAACAGGGCCCCTCAGGAGAAACACGGGACGCAAGCCACGTTAGCAGCGACACCCAGGACCACACACCACGCCGGGGTAACAACATCTCACCTAATATTCGTGTTGATCGTTTGACTTGCTTGCCTGATGTCCCTCGGGGTCATTTGTCTCTCGGTATACTCTTTGGTGAATCCGATACCCTTGATATCGCTCGCCTTACTTGCTTTTGTTCTTGTATTGACATCATAAGTATTTAGCGCCTTATAAATATCAAGCGACACACTTGGAGGTACAGTCTTCCTGGCTTGGCGCCTTCTTTTGATAATTACTTACAGTTTGTGGCGTACCAAGATATTTACTCTATCCAAGTATCTACACCTTAATATGTGACCTACTGATGTGTTTACACCATAGTATGCTGTCTACTCGGATATTTACACTATAGTACGGGGGCCTGATATATTTACACTATAATACAGGGGCCTGATATATTTACATAAGACTACGGGAATCCTGATATATTTACACTATAGTACGGGGGCCCCTGACATATTTACACTAGTACGAGGGGACTGATATATTTACACTATAGTAGGCAGTCTACCCATATATTTACATTATGGTATGCATGAGTGAACCATGATGTAAATATATCGGTAGACATACTATAAAATATAAGAGTTTGTTCATATGCAAAAATTTTTTTACCCAGGTTAGGTTAGGATCGAAATGAAGCCTACTTAACGGGGGGGGGGGGGGGCTAAGTCCACTATGGCCAGGGCGCTCGTCCTTAGAATAAAGAGCAAGGATGTAACTGCTCATAGGATCTATATATTTGTTGTAGACAGCATACTATTGTGTAATCCTCCCGGTAAACTGCTTGCTATAGTATAATCCTTCCGGTAAACCGCATGCAATAGTGTAATCCTCCCGGTAAACCGCTTGCTATAGTATAATCCTCCCGTTAAACTGCTTGCTATAGTATAATCCTCCCGGTAAACTGCTTGATATAGTGTAATCCTCCCTGTAAACTGCTACTATAATCCTCCCGGTAAACTGCTTGCTACAGTATAATCCTCCCGGTAAACTGCTTGCTACAGTATAATCCTCCCGGTAAACTGCTTGCTACAGTATAATCCTCCCGGTAAACTGCTTGCTACAGTATAATCCTCCCGGTAAACTGCTTGCTACAGTATAATCCTCCCGGTAAACTGCTTGCTACAGTATAATCCTCCCGGTAAACTGCTTGCTACTGTATAATCCTCCCGGTAATCTGAATGCAATAGTGTAAACCTCCCGGGAAACTGCTTATTATATTGTAAACGTCTCTGTAGTCTGCATACTATAGTAGTATCCACATTTCAATAGCAGTCGGGAGGAACACCCATGAAATATGAATGGAGATGGGAGAGGAGGAAGTAGAGCAGAGAGTAACAGAGAGGAGGAAGGAGACCAGAGAGTAACGGAGAGGAGGAAAGAGACCAGAGAGTAACGGAGAGGAGGAAGGAGACCAGAGAGTAACGGAGAGGAGGAAGGAGACCAGAGAGTAACGGAGAGGAGGAAGGAGACCAGAGAGTAACGGAGAGGAGGAAGGAGACCAGAGAGTAACTCACGTGGCCGGCAGCACTTGCAGTGGCCTCCGTGGCCGTAGCCGCTTCTCACGCCGCGACACTCGCCCAACGCGTAGTAGCCGGGCCGGCAGGGGTGCTCGAACTCCACGCAGTAGCCGCCGGCGTAGGTACACTCTGAGGACGGACTGCAGGAGGCTGGCGGAGGTTTAACGGGGTGCGGAGGTTTAACAGGGGGCGGTGCGCAACACTGGCAGTTGTGGCCCTTGCACCCCTTGTGTATGACCTGTTCATGCCCCTCACAATGCTCCTTGCACCGACCATGGTGCTTCTTGCACTGTTTCTTCTCGCTGCAAGTGGCTGTCAAGGATAATATCAGCTGTTAGTGTGCTAGAATGGCAACCGGAAGTAAGGTCAATATCAGGAGAAAGCGCTAAGCCAGTGCGACTATATAGTACTTGGAAAGAATATGAAACCAAGGATATAGGATGGGACGGAGTGGAGGAATGGTGCTCAACTACTTGCACCATCGGAAATTGAACGCCGACCTGCAAGAAGCGAGGGCACTTTTATGTAAGTTGCCAGGACCAGAGACAGTACAAGAATCACATGACTTATTGGACATAGAAAAATATATACTTTGTCAGCCAGTATATTAATTCTTGCAAGCACTTCATTGGAAATTATAAAACATACGCATGTACGGGTACCACACACACACACACACACACACACACACACACACACACACACACACACACACACACACACACACACACACACACACACACACACACACACACACACACACACCTGCATGAGAAAGACACATACTGCGAAATATATGCCTAAGTATCTTACATTTGTAGAGGCAGCAGACACAGCCGCCCTTGCAGCCCTTGGTGGCGAAGTTGCCGGTGGAGCACTCCTTCTCCGTTGTACACTTGCCACCCTTCTTCAGACACGATTTCTTCGTCTTGCAGGGTTTAGCCTTCTTCAGACAACACATGCACCCCATGCCCTTACACCCCTTCTTCAACTCCGTCTCCTTGCCGCTACACTTACTTCGACAAACTCCTCCTGCACCTCTGCATTTTTTCTTAGGTGTGCATTTGGCTAGAAAGATTAATGATAAGAGTCAATACACTTTCGGTTACCTTGCCTGCGTATAAATAAGATATAAATATAACAAGCACTCACTTGGACAATATTAATATTTCATAAAGTTACGTTCATGGTTCCATCTGTCCTCTCGGCTTTAAGCATGAATTGAAGGCTTCGGGTGGGTGAGGGGTTCTATGAGTTTATAACCCCGTGGGTGAAGGAGTATGTCCTGTGTTCTGTCCTACAGTGTGGGTTGCTCCTTGTTTGTGTTACATCTGACCTTTTGAAGACGTTGTCTGGATCAATATCCTCCAAATTGTTCAATATATTACAGGTTTCAATGTTTCCTTCACCCTGATGGTTGAGTGTCACCCTTCACCCTGATGGTTGAGTGTTACCCGTCACCCTGATGGTTGAGTGTTACCTTCACCCTGATGGTTGAGTGTTACCCTTTACCCTGATGGTTGAGTGTTACCCTTCACCCTGATGGTTGAGTGTTACCCTTCACCCTGATGGTTGAGTGTTACCCTTCACCCTGATGGTTGAGTGTTACCCTTCACCCTGATGGTTGAGTGTTACCTTCACCCTGATGGTTGAGTGTTACCCTTCACCCTGATGGTTGAGTGTTACCCGTCACCCTGATGGTTGAGTGTTACCTTCACCCTGATGGTTGAGTGTTACCCTTCACCCTGATGGTTGAGTGTTACCCGTCACCCTGATGGTTGAGTGTTACCCTTCACCCTGATGGTTGAGTGTTACCCGTCACCCTGATGGTTGAGTGTTACCCGTCACCCTGATGGTTGAGTGTTACCCGTCACCCTGATGGTTGAGTGTCACCCTCACCTGGATGACAACAGCCACAGTCGCCACCACAGTCGTCATCCCGCCACTCGCCGGAGGAGCACTCGTTCCTCAAGGTACAAGTGCCACACTTGCCCTCAGACTTGGGGCACTTGGCTTGGTCATAACCGGATTTTCCTGCTGATAACTTGGCTTTGTCCAGGCCTTCCCTTCTGTCACTCACTTTGACTTCACCTTTGGTCTTGTCAACACTTTTGGCGTTACCTTTCTTCAGTGTCTTCTTCCCCGGACTTTTCCTAGATTTGGCTTTATTGTTCTTCAGTGTCTTTTTCCCCGGACTTTTCCTAGATTTGGCTTTATCGTTCTTCAGTGTTTTTTTCCCCAGACTTTTCCTAGATTTGGCTTTGTTTTTCTTAATTGTTTTCTCTCCTAAACTTTTCCTGGATTTGTCTTTACCGTTCTTCAGTGTTTTCTTTCCTAGATTTTTGGGTGATTTTCCATTTTTATTTCCAAAATTATTCCTCAGTTTTTCTTTTCCATTCTTGCTCTTTTCCATTCCGATATTTTTATTGGATTTGCCGTTTTTCCCTTTAACCTTCTTCTGCCTTTTCTTTGCACTCTCTTTTGGTTTTCTTTCTTGCTTCTTGTATATTTTATTGAGCTTTCTTTGGTTCTTCCTGGGATTTGTACTCGGAATATTTTTGTCCGTTTTGGAAAGTTTTTCGATTTTGGGCGATGTGTTTGGCTCAGTTTTGTATAATTTCTTGGATCTTCGTTTTCCATTTATTGACTTTTTCTTCAGTTTTTGTAATCTCTTCCTGGATTTGTTCTTGGGATTCTTTTGTTTCTTATTGGATATTTTCTTACGGTTTCCCTGTTTCCTTTGAATTTTCTTTGGTTCTTGTTCTTTCTTTGCCGTTTTCTTTATATTCTTACTTTTCTTCGAAGTTTTATTGCGTTTCTCTGGTTTCATTTCAGAAATGTTCTTCTTTTGTCTGTTCGTACGCGTTTTCTTAGACGAGTTCTTATTGTTTTTGGCAGTTTTCTTTCTCTCAGTTTCCTCCCTCACACTTCGTTTTGTTTTGTTTTGCTTGTTTACATTCTTAGATATTTTCTCCTCATATTTTCTTCCCAATATTAAGGATTTTCTTGCTGGAGCGCCAGTCCCCGTCGTACCTGGGGAGAGGAACGACGCCATATTATGATGGTCAGAATGTATAGCACTCCACTCAACACAACACAATATAACACCACTCAACACAACACAATATAACACCACTCAACACAACACAATATAACACCACTCAACACAACACAATATAACACCACTCAACACAACACAATATAACACCACTCAACACAACACAATATAACACCACTCAACACAACACAATATAACACCACTCAACACAACACAATATAACACCACTCAACACAACACAATATAACACCACTCAACACAACACAATATAACACCACTCAACACAACACAATATAACACCACTCAACACAACACAATATAACACCACTCAACACAACACAATATAACACCACTCAACACAACACAATATAACACAACACAATATAACACAACACAATATAACACCACTCAACACAACACAATATAACACCACTCAACACGCCACATTTGTTATCATAAACACATAAATTAATTACTTAAGTACATGCATTACAATTTGGACGCATTAATGTTGCAAAGTTACACGCCAAACTGCGTACGCTGGGTTGGGTTGGCAAAGTACAAAGCACTCACTATTATCAACTGGAATAGTCCATATTTTGTATATAAACGTCGTGAACCCGACGGCTTTTAATTAGTTCTAAGGATAGAAGGACGAGGTAAGACGATATAGAGGCTGCCAGGTATCTAAGGCTTTTGCGTGTAGTTAGGCTAACAAAGTTACGGCAACTGTCATGGCGATGGCTCTCCCATTACGACTTTATACGTACAGTGTTGCTAAATACTGTGGTGGTTGTTGTCTGATTCAGGGGCGACGACGGCAGGTGTCCCGGATACGCCTTGGTGTACTTTTAATTGTTGTGGTATGTGTTTGTTGTTGTATTGGTTAGTTCATCGTCTCAATGGTCGCCAGTATTATGGCTCTGGTGGCCTATGGTGGGAGGTTTATATGTACAAGCCGATGCTGGTGGCCCTTGACGGTGCACTAGGCTACGTCGTCACAACTTACCATTATAACAGCACACGGCGCTGGGACCACAGTCTTTCTCGGCCAACACAGTATGGCACTTGTTGACATCTTCCTTTAGACAGTCTCCTCCAGCTGACTTACAGGCACTCCCCACCTCACTTTGCTTCTGCTGAAAATACACGAAGATTCTTTTTTTCTTCAAATATATATATTAGCTTAAATAAATAAATAACCGCAGGAGACGGTCTATGTTAAGAACTTAAGACTACCTTATCTCTACGGAACTATTACAACTGAACCAGTGATGTGGTCACGGTACTGTAACTAGAATCAAGGTAGAGATCTAAAGCGTCTTTATTCCCCACATACACACAAACAAGCGGGCGCGACACCTCTTATGAGTAAGATAGACATTTGCTGAGAAAATATAAAAAATCTTGTATTAAATATTATCCTAGGAGATTTGAATCTTTAAATTTTGAATTAAGAGAATACTGAAAGAGGGAAACAAAAGCCTGCTAGAAAGTTGACGAACCTGTGTGACGAAGTATTTATGTAGCCAAAACAGTAGTTTATAACAATGTAGCATGATTATTTATGCAAGTTCTAAAGTTTCCAGAACTCTTTGCAGGTAATTAATTGCTTTATTAAAAAAATTAAACATTTTAATGTGAATGTAAACTGTAGTACAAGTAATGTATATTTTTTACAAATAAATTATTATTACTATTATTCACATAAAGAAGTTACAATGATGTGATTTGTGGGAGTCATTGCGAGTACTGCAGGGATTGAACCAGTGTATGGAGAACACCATTACCAAACCAGACAGCATGCGGACTATTCTTGGCTGGGCACCAGCTCGGTGTCTCCAGAGTTCCTAGTGGGTTCAGCAAAGTCCCAGGTTGAATAGCTTTTTTGACAGGTTGCGGTCTATGGGTATAGAATGCAGCTGGTGTTTATCAGATCGCGGGTTCAATTCCCCGCATTACTCCAAATGATTTTCGCATTATTATTATTATTATTATTATTATTATTATTATTGCAACTAAGTGAGAGAAATACAAAAAGAACAGAATGTTATGTTTGACATTCGGATGTATAGGCTATAAATGAAAGATCTTTGATTGTTTTATCATGACCTCTTTGTACTAGAAACCAACTATCAAATGTTATTAACACAAACCTCACAGACTAATTAAAGCACAACCAACATGACAGGCGGCCTGACAGCTGAGTGGACAGCGATTCAGATTCGTAGTCCTGAGGTTCCGGGTTCGATCCCAGGTGGAGGAGGAAACAAAATGGGCAAAGATTCTTTCACCCTGATGTCCCTGTTACCTAGCAGTAAATAGGTACCTGGGAATTAGATAGCTGCTACGGGCTGCTTCCTGGGGGTGTGTAACAAAAAGGAGGGACGCTAAGCCCCGAAATCATCTCAAGATAATATGCCAGTGCTCTTAGCCCTGGGGCCTGATTTGCGAGGATGCAATCATATATATATATGCAAAACTACTCCTAGAAACTATATAGAATTAATTAAAAGCACTAAGTCAGTTGCACTAACATCACATATTATTATCTTATTGGGAGCTTAGGGTTAACATTTTATGTTTGATGAAAGCAAGTTAACTTCAGAGCCCAAATCAACATAGACTTACTGAGGGTTGTAGATTTACAAATTCTGGCGTTCGCATCTACTCAAGTCACCGTCGTAAAATCACGGAGGTAGCATATAATTGTCAAAATGGAGATGTGATGTAAGACACATTCACATCTTTTCATAGAACGGAAACAACATTGTAAAAGATGTAGGAACATTGAGGTGGGGCGACATGAAGCGAAGACAAGTTAAACACAGCAGCAGCCATCAGAACCTTCACATTGGTATGCCGCCACACTGATGTTAATGCTTGCGATCGCTTATGCTTTTCTGCTTGGGCTACTGCTATGTGTTCGCATCACTCTTCAAGCACACGCCTTATCAGCACTACCAAGTATACCGACTTGTCTTACTGGTCATATAGATGCTGCAGGAAAACCTTCAAACTTTTGGAAGTGCCTCAGAGCGCTCATAATGTAATCTCTGGTGTAAGTCCAAGACCGGGCGACGAAAATCCTCCCAGAACTAAGTTATCTCTCATATCAGCAACGGTTAAGAGCCTCAGAACTAACAACACTGCAAACCTGACATGACAAGGCTGATCTCGTCGAAACCTTTAAAATACTAAATAAAATGGAGGACAATGATCAAGACCACTTCTTTAATAGTTCAGATGTAATACATACAAGGAGCTACGGGTTCAAACTAAGCAGTTGGGTTGCTACTCGACTCACAATCGGGAATCCAAGGTTCGAATTCAAGGCGGGAAAGAAATGGTTGGGTACATTTCCTTTCACCCAATGCCACTGTTCACCCAGCAGTAACAGGTACCCGGGAATCAGTTAACTATAACTGTCATGGGGGGTTGCATCCTGAGGAAGATCAGTAGTTCCAACTTGTGGGGACCTCGATATAAGCCTAAAGTATATATACACACATCCTACCTGTCACCGACAAAGCTACTTAAAATGTCACAATATAGGACAGAAAACAGATGTTTTTTCACCGATAAGGTTATAAACCCATGGAATCGTCTACCCGCCGAAACCGTAAATGCCAAGGTGTTACTGCAGTTCAAAATCTAGAATGATAAAATCTTCAGGAAACATGGGAGACCTTTGACAAGCCACCGGCTTACTGTCCCTGTCGAGGCCACTTAGAGAGATGGTGATCCTCAGGTAAATATAAAACACATACTAGAAAGATTCGACAGAGAGTGTACCGTAGACTGAGCGCAGATAAGTGTAGAGGGGTAGCATGAGGGAAGACTGAGGGTAAGGATGAGAGCCCCATATACCACTAATGCGGTGCCCGGACCACCACGCTAAGTTACCTCAGCCCGGACAAGGGCGACGATGGCCACACACACCACCACCAACTTGGAGAGCCTCATGTTGCCGGATTGTCGACTAGGGCTGTTGTCCTGTGTTAACCTCTGGCTGTTGACGACTGCTGCTGTACAGTTCAGGAGCTTCCTGGGCCGGCTGATAAAGCCTTCTGCACCTCTGATGCAGCCTTTCCTACCTTATATGTTGCATGGAACACCTGTCACACGGCACACCTGAACCACTGAGGGACAGGGAAATATCGTCATGATTTTTCAGATTAAAATCTCTATTGTTATTTTAGTAGTGCAGTTGTGCAGCTACAATGGCGCGTTTGTTTATTCTTCAGTCCACCTTGTAGGCTGTAAAGGGAGATACAATCTGATATCATGATAAACAAACATATCCCCAACACGACTACAACTTGATATCGGGTATATCAAACAGCAGGTTGTAGCGCTTGGTCTTTAAAGATTTACGCGGGAAGGTTGTAGAGAGAACAAGCAAGCATATAATGGCTGCTGTTAGGGAGGTCTGCTGTTGACACCATATGACACACTGTTGTATGGGTCGCAAGCTGGAGGGAAGAGTCATGAAGGACACACCCATAGTAAAGTGTGTAAAGCTGGCTACACTGAACATACAACACACCTAATTTTTAATACTACAACACCAAAATTATTTATAAGTCTTTTCAGTCCCAAGTGTGTAGTGCCATGCCCAATGCTTTCAGTATATATATATATATATATATATATATATATATATATATATGTCGTACCTAATAGCCAGAACGCACTTCTCAGCCTACTATTCAAGGCCCGATTTGCCTAATAAGCCAAGTTTTCATGAATTAATGTTTTTTCGTCTACCTAACCTACCTAACCTAACCTAACCTAGCTTTTTTTGGCTACCTAACCTAACCTTACCTATATATATAGGTTAGGTTAAGTTAGGTAGGGTTGGTTAGGTTTGGTCATATATCTACGTTAATTTTAACTCCAATAAAAAAAATTGACCTCATACATAGTGAAAAGGGTTGCTTTATCATTTCATAAGAAAAAAAATATAGTAAATATATTAATTCAGGAAAACTTGGCTTATTAGGCAAATCGGGCCTTGAATAGTAGGCTGAGAAGTGAGTTCTGGCTACTAGGTACGACATATATATATATATATATATATATATATATATATATATATATATATATATATATATATATATATATGTCGTACCTAGTAGCCAGAACTCACTTTTTGGCCTACTATTCAAGGCCCGATTTGCCTAATAAGCCAAGTTTTCCTGAATTAATATATTTTTTCTAATTTTTTTCTTATGAAATGATAAAGCTACCCATTTCATTATGTATGAGGTCAATTTTTTTTTATTGGAGTTAAAATTAACGTAGATATATGACCGAACCTAACCAACCCTACCTAACCTAACCTAACCTATCTTTATAGGTTAGGTTTGGTTAGGTAGCCGACAAAGTTAGGTTAGGTTAGGTTAGGTAGGTTAGGTAGTCGAAAAACAATTAATTCATGAAAACTTGGCTTACTAGGCAAATTTGGCCTTGCATAGTAGGCTGAGAAGTGAGTTCTGGCTACTAGGTACGACATATATATATATATATATATATATATATATATATATATATATATATATATATATATATATATATATATGTCGTACCTAGTAGCCAGAACTCACTTCTCAGCCTACTATGCAAGGCCCGATTTGCCTAATAAGCCAAGTTTTCATGAATTAATTGTTTTTCGACTACCTAACCTACCTAACCTAACCTAACCTAACTTTTTCGGCTACCTAACCTAACCTAACCTATAAAGATAGGTTAGGTTAGGTTAGGTAGGGTTGGTCAGGTTCGGTCATATATCTTCGTTAATTCTAACTCCATTAAAAAAAAATTGACCTCATACATAATGAAATGGGTAGCTTTATCATTTCATAAGAAAAAAATTTGAGAAAATATAATAATTCAGGAAAACTTGGCTTATTAGGCAAATCGGGCCTTGCATAGTAGGCTGAGAAGTGCGTTCTGGCTACTAGGTACGACATATATATATATATATATATAATATATATATATATATATGTCGTACCTAGTAGCCAGAACGCACTTCTCGGCCTACTATTCAAGGCCCGATTTGCCTAATAAGCCAAGTTTTCCTGAATTAATATAGTTTCTCTAATTTTTTTCTTATGAAATGATAAAGCTACCCATTTCATTATGTATGAGGTCAATTTTTTTTTATTGGAGTTAAAATTAACGTAGATATATGACCAAACCTAACCAACCCTACCTAACCTAACCTAACCTATCTTTATAGGTTAGGTTAGGTTAGGTAGCCGAAAAAGTTAGGTTAGGTTAGGTTAGGTAGGTTAGGTAGTCGAAAAACAATTAATTCATGAAAACTTGGCTTATTAGGCAAATCGGGCCTTGAATAGTAGGCATAGAAGTGCGTTCTGGCTATTAGGTACGACATATATATATATAATTTTTATTTAAGCAAAAGTACATACATACATACATACATACATACATACATACATACATACATACATACATACATACATACATACATACATACATACATACATACATAGGATACACGAAGAATGTAGGATTTACAGGTAAGGCGGCCTGACAGCTGAGTGGACAGCGCTCGGAATTCGTAGGCCTGAGGTTCTGGGTTTGATCTCCGGTGGAGGAGGAAACAAATAAGCAGTTTATTTCACCCTGATGCTCCTGTTTACCTAACAGTAAATAGGTACCTAGGAGTTAAACAGCTGCTACTGACTGCTTCCTGGGGGTGTGTAACAAACAGGACGCGTGGTCGAGGACCGGGCCGCGGAGACGCTAAGCCCCGAAATCATCTCAAGATAACCTCAAGAAGGCGAGTATTATGCCTAAAGCCACTAATACGCACAGCGTCTTCCCCATAATGTGGAAAAACTAAAAGATAAATAACTTATAACTAATTTATTTATTTATTTATTTATTTATTTATTTATTTATTTATTTATTTATTTATTTATATACAAGAAGGTACATGGGGGGTTAAGCGAGTACATAGTAACGATGTTGATTTTACTTTCTTGTACAGCACTAGTACTATTTTAAGTAGATAATTTACAGTAAAATTGACAAAAAAATGTACAGGTACATTGTAAGAAATATTGACACAATAAACAAAGATTAGATTAATACACAATAATAATAATACACTAAAATGAACAAGGATTACTAGGTTCATGCGCGTAAAATTTCAGGGTTATCAATTGGTTCATTGTAGCAAAATTTGAGGATCATTTCAAGGAATAATGCAGTAGAATATACACTCAACATAACAACCATGATATCAGATGATATCAAAGATTACAATGATAAAGTTATATAGCTTAGGTACATATATTGAGGGATTGGGTAGCACTAGATACAGTGCGAGTTACAGCACTAGGTAGGAAACTATGAAGATGAAATTAGGTACTTTTTGGTTTTATTTTTGAATAAGGAAAAAGTTGGACAGCTTTTCAATTCATAAGGGAGTGAGTTCCATATACTGGGTCCCTTTATTTGCATAAAGTGTTTACACAGATTAAGTTTGACTCTGGGGATATCAAAGATATATTTATGTCTGGTGTGGTGAATATGTGTTCTATTACATCTGTTCAGGAATAGTTTCAGTAGAGGGTTTGCACTTAAGAAAAGTTTTTTGTAAATGTAATTGACACAAGAGAATGTGTGGAGTGAGTTTATGTTTAGCATGTTAAGGGAGTTAAACAGGGGAGCTGAGTGCTGTCTGAAAGCAGAGTTTGTTATTGTCCTGATCGCAGGTTCTTACTGGGAGATGACGGGCTTGAGGTAGTTTGCAGTGGTTGAACTTCATGCACAGATAACTGAGATCAAAAGCAAAATGGAATTGAAATAGAGAAATATAATAAAATGACAATTTATATAGGCTATATATATATATATATATATATATATATATATATATATATATATATATATATATATATATATATATATATATATATATATATATGTGGGTGTTCCCACCCACAGTATGGGTGGGAACACTCCCCACAGGCTGGGGGTCCACAGTATGGGTGGGAACACTCCCCCACAGGCTATATATATATATATATATATATATATATATATATATATATATATATATATATATATATATATATATATATATATATATATATATATATATATATATATATACTATATCTCTCAACTTGGCGACCACTGTATAAACAACAAGGCTTCATTAATGATCACAGCATGTACTCACCTAGTTGTACTCACCTAATTGTGCTTGCGGGGGTTGAGCTCTGGCTCTTTGGTCCCGCCTCTCAACTGTCAATCAACTGGTGTACAGATGCTAGAGCCTACTGGGCTCTATCATATCTACATTTGAAACTGTGTATGGAGTCAGCCTCCACCACATCACTTCCTAGTGCATTCCATTTATTAACTACTCTGACACTGAAAAAATTCTTTATAACGTCTCTGTGGCTCATCTGGGTACTAAGTTTCCAACTGTGTCCCCTTGTTCGTGTTCCACCCGTGCTGAAGAGTTTGTCTTTGTCCACCCTGTCAATTCCCCTGAGAATTTTGTAGGTGGTTATCATGTCTCCCCTTACTCTTCTGTTTTCCTGGGGTGTGAAGTTCAACTCCTTTAGCCTTTCCTCGTAGCTCATTCCTCTCAGTTCCGGGACGAGCCTGGTGGCATACCGCTGGATCTTCTCTAACTTTGTCTTGTGTTTAACTAGGTATGGACTCCAGGCTGGAGCTGCATACTCCAGGATTGGTCTGACATAAGTGGTATACAAGGTCCAGAACGATTCCTCACACAAGTTTCTAAAGGCAGTTCTTATGTTGGTCAGTCTAGCATATGCCGCTGATGTGTAAATGTTTAAAAACACTCCCCACAGGCTGGGGGTCCACAGTATGGGTGGGAACAATCCCCACAGGCTGGGGTCTACAGTATGGGTGGGAACAATCCCCACAGGCTGGGGTCTACAGTATGGGTGGGAACAATCCCCACAGGCAGGGGTCCACAGTATGGGTGGGAACACTCCCCACAGGCTGGGGGTCCACAGTATGGGTGGGAACACTCC